ATACTGGAGCAGGGTGGGCTTCTGACCCAAAAATGACTGGTGTCCTTATAAGAAGAAAGCCATGTAATGACATAGAGGGAGCATGTAGACCACCACAGAGGCAGAGACTGGAATAAAGCAGTGTCAAGCCAGTAAACACGCAGGATTGCTGGCAAACCACTGGAGGCTGAGGAGAAGCAAGGAAGAATTTCCCAATTGACCTCGGAGAGAGCACAGTCCACCTTGATTTTACACTTCTGGCCTCCAGAACTACAGGACAGTAAGTATTTTACTTCATTATATTATTTTAAAATAATTTCATTTTATATTTTTTTGGCTGTGTCATGTGGCATGTGGGATTCTAGTTTTCTCACTAGGGATCAAACCCATGACCCCCTGCAGTGGAAGCACAGAGTCCCGACCACTGCACCACCCTGGGGAGTCTCAAGGCAGTAAAGTTTTGTTGTTTTAAGCCACCCCATTTGAGGTACTTGTTATGGTTGCCCTAAGAAACTGATACAGGGCCTCAGAGGATTTTTTCTCTAAGATTGAAATGGGGCAACATCAAGAAGAATGTCTAAGAGTGAGTCAGAGGGAAGTGTCTGTGGGGGATACAACATACTTTAAAACCCCTCTATGCCTCTGTCTCCAGGACATCATAAACAATGTCCCAAAATGCTGAATTCCTATTAAATGCCTTTTATTAATATTATCAATAGGTAAACACCTAAGCCCAGGCCAGTAGTGGATGACTGACAGAACTCCTGCCTTGTTCAACTGGCAGTGGCGTTATGCTCCCAGGAAGGGGTGATACTCCTTAATTTCAGTCTTCAAAGGGCTCTCCCCAGCTCTTTTTCAAAGTTTACAAAGGAATAATTATTACCTGGATCTAAGTCATTTTTATATAAATGTTCTTTTCATTTGCTCCTCATATGGAACCTCTGATTTGTTAAAAGGAGTAGTGTCTGTGGAACCAGCTCTGGGAAGGAAACTGGGCTCGTTTAACTGCACCCATAGCACCAAAAAACCCCACAACAACTGTCAAGATAATTTTGGGGATAAAGCAAAGCCAATAAAATGCAGAAAAGATTCCATGTAGTCTGTCAGTTCACTTATAACCTGCTGCGTCAGAGACTGTCACATCCCCCTTGGGTTCTACTTCTCAGTCTGGACAGACAGGCACAAGGTGAACCCAAGACACATTTGCTAATCTTTTGGATGAACCATGTATGACTGCTGTCATTAAAAAAAAAAATAACATCATACACAAATCTTTTCTAAGCCTTGGTTTTTGCCTTCTCTCTCACAAAAAAGTAGGAGAGCAACTTCCAACTGCACAAAAGTGAGTGAACCCACTATTCCTAATGTGACTGGGAACAGACTGCTAGTATCAGAGTCCAACACTGGACTCAAAAGAAGAAATTAAAAACCATTCCTGGGACTTCTCTGGTGGTCTGCTGGCTAAGACTCTGTGCTCCCAATGCAGGGGGCCTGGGTTTAATCCCTGGTTGGGGAACTAGGTCCCACAAGCTGCAACTAAGACCCGGCACAACCAAACAAATAAATAAATATTTAAAAAAAATTCCTGGGTGGAGGCCTGGATTTGGCTCTGAACCTGACTCAACCATCAATTAACAATTAATCTCCAACTCTTCTCCCTGAAGATGCTTCCAGATTTTGCTTATTTCTGAAGACACAAGATGGTGTTGAGGGTTGGTTGTCATCTTGAAGGAATAAATTCTAAAGCTGACTTACTTATCTCCCATTAGAGTATAGATTATTCTTTTGTCACTTAAAATTAGGGGTTAGAAGGAAGAAATGGTATGTGCTATAATTACTTTTTAATGTTAAAAAACAAGGGAGAAAGTTTCAATATTAAAATGTCACCATACTTAGTCACTACAAACCTGTGTGCAAAGTTCTAAAGTATTTCATAGTTGTTTTGTTTGTTTTTTTTTCTTTTTTCTGACCACAACACGCAGGATCTTAGTTTCCTGACCAGGGATCAAACCCATGCGGCTCGAACTCGTGCCCCCTGAAGTGGAAGTGCACTGTCTTAACTACTGGACTGCCAGGGAAGGCCCTCACAGTTCTTCTAAGTCAACTTTCAGTGAACTATGCAGAGGACTGTGGTATCAGTTACCTACATAAATCTAGAACTATGGTCAACCCCAAATCATTCATTCTTAAGATACTCAACCTCTTCCCCAGTGTATATATAGTTGATTCTTGTTATTCGTAATATTAATAATTATGTTCTATAGAATTGTGTGAACACTGAATTAACAGATCCTGAATACTGAACTATTGCTCCTAAGGGAAATACACGTTCAGGATTCTGAGAGCCTCTGGTCACACCAAATCACTCATTCAAAAATCTTTAAAAGGGCTTTCCTAGTGGCTCAGTGGTAAAGAAGCCAACTGCCAATGCAGGAGACGAGGCTATGACCCCTGAGGGAAGATCCCCTGGGGAAGGAAATGGCAACCCACTCCAGTATTCTTGCCTGGAAAATTCCATGGACAGAGGGCTTCAGTACGTGGGGTCACAAAAGAACTGAACATGACTTAGCAATTGAGCACATATGCACCCCTAATGCACTGCATGCCTCCCACATATAACTGGTAGGCTGTTGCTTAGCCATTACTGTTCCAATTATTCATTACTGTCTTTGGAATGAATGAATGTCCTAATAATATGGATGTGCTAAACATCTATAATTCTCAGAATAAACAAGTCACCTTGCAAAGACTTAACTTGGGGAGAGTTGGACAATTAGGCACAATTTTCCCATGCTGTCTCTCGTCTCATAATTTCCATGATAAGGAGGGCTGTTCTTAACCCTGAGGCCAACAGAAAGCACAGGTATAAACATATCTCTTCTCCTTGGTATTCCTTGTAAATTCAATTTTCAGCAAAGGTAAGGCAGAATTAGCTTATAAAGGGGGTTCCCTTCTGGCTGCAGGTTATACTTGAGAATGAGTAAATAAATAGATATGATCATAAGGCCAAAACAAGGCTAAGCAGAGAAAGTGTTTCATTAAGAAAGAGAAGGCTATATTTCCCTCCAAAGTGGCTATTCTAGCTACGTATAAATGGGAAAAAAGGTAAAAGCTACCCCATCGGTGGGGGTGGTAATGTCTTCCTTCTCTGATTCCAGTCTATCTCCTGATCTTCTGGACCTCCACTTCTTACTGGACTCTGCTTTCTATTCAAGCTGCCAGGACCACAGTTTGTAGGCCGGCACATCCACGAGAAACAGAGAATTCACTGAAACCTAGGATTATCTTTTGGCACTCTGCAGCTTGAGAGACAGTGATTAAGAGGAAACAAAACAAAACAAAACTTCACCAACAAAGTGGCATTTTCATTTCAGCTGTTCCTGGGGGCAAAACAGAGCAGTGAAGAAAATCTTAGATTGAAAGCTCTGCGGTTATCTCCGCTTCTCATTAAAGTGTCCCTGATGATAATCACACCTACGATTACAAGACTTAACACACCTGGTCTCAAGGGCGCACCAGGAAGAGAAATTGTACACTCATCTCATCTCATCTCGTTTTCTTTATTCACTGAGTAAGCACAATTTATAAATTTCAGTGAGTACAGACTGGAGACAGTTTGGAGAACAGAAGTTTTTCATTCACATGGCTTTTTGAAAGTGACACAAACCTTCCATGGCTACAAATTATTTCCGTGCTGGTGAGACAAGCAGTGTTGCTTTCAGTGGCTACATACAGATGTGAAAAAATCTGGACAGCGTTTCTATTTCTTCTTGCACTTAACTAACCAGACATTTGCCATGCTACACACATACACACACACTTTCTCTCTCTCTCTCACTGAGTAAGGATGTGCGCACTTACAGAGTTTTTAAGATTTAGTTTAATAGTGTTGTGACTCAATTTTTAAAATAAATTTTTATTTTGACATAATTTTAGATTTACAGAAAAGCTGCAAAGACAATACAGAGGATTCCTGTATACTCCTTACCCAGTTTCCTCTGTTGTTAACAACTTACATAACAATGCTATATTTGTCAAGAGTTTCGTAGATTTTGACAGTGGGTAAAAAAAATACTGACTTTTTAAATTCCATTTTGTACAGCAGATTCTCAACAAGAACAGTGAGTACCCTAAAACCATTATCTGAAATGTCAAGTTATGATCTCTCCGTCCCCCACTCCAATCAAGGTCCTAGATAAAATAACTGGGGGATAACTAATGCTTGTACAAAAATGGTGTCAGGAACTCGATTTGGCAAAATTCTAGCATGAACAAAGCCAAGTGTCTGACAAAACACTTTCCTAATGGCTTCACTGACACTTGGTTAAATACTGATGTGTCGGCCATAGACAAGCATTGTGGATGCCAGGAAGTGAATTATTAATGCACACTCTCTTTATAAAGTCAACTGGGAATGTGTTTCCAATAAAATCAAGCAGAAAATTAATTTAGAGGTCATTCATTCTCAGCACACACGTGAACAGATATACTTTCTTCCAAGACTGGCCACACACTGGGGAGAAATCCAGCCAAACCCATTTAGAGGAATAAAAGTTTAATTTATGCAACGACTAAAATCTCATGGATTGCACTCACAGCTAGAAAGGAGACATTTGAAATGAAGCCTTTTAGTGATTCCATATGAACAATGAAATGAGTCAGTAAGACAAATCACTCAAGTTCACACTATAAAAAGCAGGCTTGGTGCGGTCCACAGCTCACCCTGGAACCTGTCCCTCTGATGGGAATGCTGGGGCCCAGGACCTCAACCTATAAATTTGCGTCCTGGTTTTTCTGGAGGTTAGGATGCAGTTTGCCTAATGTGATACAGAGAAAACGAGACTCTTACTGAAGATGCAAACAACAGAATTTTCCTGCTATAAAAGTCCCTGCTGACTTGATTCATCTGTATGAATTCGCCCAGGAAAAAGGTTGCAGGCCTGTCCTGGTGAAAGGAAGACTGATGAACAGATAAAGAACAAAGAGGGAGGGGATTTGCAAATGGTGAGAGACTGACTTACCTCAGTGGCCTTCTGGCTGAGTCCCCGAAGCAGCAGCACAATCACGTGGATGGCAGCTCTCCGCACCTGGACTTCATGGTCTGTTTTCGCCACAGCAATCAGACAAGCTGTTACCTAAGAGGGTGAGGGAAGAAGAAGTCAATAAAAATCAGAGTTGCACAATTACCTAAAGGCCTTCAACTGTGTTCCACTTTCTATACATTCATTGCAAAAATCTGGCTTAGCCAGGGGTGGACTGCGTCCTCATTCTCCATGAAAAGGGAGAGATGTAGTGATGGAGACCTTGATTTAGTCTGGCTTTTCTGGAAAGGGGCAAAATCTGGTTTGGAATTCAGGAGGGAGATTTGGGAGTGGGAAGGAAATATATGTGCATATAATAAAGGCATGGTCAGAGGTAAATTTCTCCTCCAAAGTGGGAGGAACTGTTACCTGCCCCACTTTGGGGACATCAAGTCGAAGAAAGAAAAACTGATCTGAAACACAGTGGTGTATAGGGATGTGAGGACCTTGAAGACTGACTCAAGCAGGCTTTCGAGTTCAAGGCCTGGCATGAGGATCAATGTGCCAACTGATGAAATTTTCAGTCCAGGGATAGAGAAATACATAAATATTCAAACTGATATTCTAGCGTGTCCAGATACCCTATCCTACAAGTCCAGTGTATGGCCCATGGGTGTTACAAGGGGTCAGTTTCTGAGACTCCCTGCCTGGGCATCTTCACTTGTGGAATGGGTCTTTTAGTGTTTATTTACTTTAAAAGACAGTTCTATAACAGAAAAGACTTGGGAATTATTTGCAAAACATGGTATAAGATATATAGTAATAATTATACGTCATAAAATGAAAAATTTCTATACCTTGTACCAGCCATCCTGCTCCCACCCTGCTCCCGGTAGGCACAACAAAAATATTCTAAAACCTCTGTAAAAAGATACCACTAGAAACAGCAGGAATGATCCTTTATGAGGTATCTGTGCAAGATCGAGAAAGAAAGAACAAACATTTTGGAGTGTAACCAATGACAGCAAAAATCTGAAGGTAAGTCTAAATTATTCACTTGGTTTCTTACATACTTTGTTATGTGATTTACTGTGTGAGTGTATATCTTGGCCAACTGGTAGGATTGCTAACCATGATAAGAAAATAGCCAGATTGTGTGCTTGGGAACATGTATAAATACATATTACATTTAAAGAATGGTTTTTTAAAAAGGTTTAAAAAAAGCACGTAGGCACAAATGAGGAAATAGCTTGTGCAGAAATTTTAACTATGCAGGTTGTATTTTTCACAGCTTTCAAACAGTTGGGCATAGTTCAAAGTGTCTAATTAATCAGCGATGGCAAAGGGATTAGAAGAAGTAGCTTGTTCTTAAATATAATTGCATCTGTGATGTACTGGCATTTAATCAAGTTGTACATCTATTAGACAAGCCTGACGCTTACAAGTGAAGGGAAATCCCAGAAAAACTCAACTCTTTGGGGACTGTTTCTCAATAAGACTCAGCAAACTGCTTTTGCTTTTCACCTGGGACCCCAACCCAATGCCATCAGTGGCTTCCATGCCTCTGGCATTAACGGTAGAAGTAATTCAGTCCTCGGAGGAGTCCCTTGGGTGACCTCCAAAAAAGGCAACAGTATAATAGGTACCTCCACTTGCAGGCTTAGTATTTATGAGGTAAGAGCTGAAATCAGAGAACAAGTTGGAGCTAGGTCTGAGGCCTTCCTGACACATAAAAGTTTAGCTTATTCAGTCTGATAACTGAAGTATGAAAGCCAGCCCAGGCCCACGTAATACACAGACTCTCCAAAGCCTTTTGCCTGCTTCCTTCAAGGTTTGGTTCTGGCCCACATTTGGAGGACAAAAGCCTCCTGGCCTGGAACCCCGCCTGGTCCAACGCTTCTGCCGCAATGCTCAGTGTAGAATCAGCTCTGACTGTCAGGCATTTAGTCCACAGTCAGGACAGGCAAAAGCATCTTGACTGGAAAAGGGCTTCTGCTGTAAGGCCAGCCCTTGAATCCCTGTGCCACCTTAAAGATGTGACTGGGAGGAGGCGGTTATTTTACAACTTGCTGAGATCAGCCATAATGGCCTCCTGCTCTTGGTGACTTATGACCAGACTGCACCAAGCCCATCTGCAATTAGCCACTCAGGACAGTCAGGCAGAGGTCTGTGACCAGAAGTATTTCTGGACCTTCCTCAACACCTTCATCACAGTACCAAATCCCATGACATGTATACAATGTTCGGTTGTGCAAAATGTCTTTTTAAGGCATCAGAATTTTAATACGGTCTTGCACATACCATCAAAAGATACAAACAGCTTCTTCCGTTCAGGTCAAGCTCCTATAACCAACTCGGAATGCTGTCCTTCAGCAGGCCAGTGGGGCAGACTCCTCGTCAAACACTACAAGCAGGGAAGATGCCTGGCCGCTCTCTTCCATCTGGCCAGTCTGAACAAGTCACTCTCATGGCTGGTCGCTCTCACCTCCAGCCCCAAGGACATATTTAACACTGCCTTCCACCCCACTAAAAGCTTTGGAGAACAGATAGATGATGTAAGGTCTTTACTAATTTATGAATTGGGATAGTATTTCTCTTCTAAGTCTTCCCAAAGGGCAGAAACCCATTCCATGGTATCTTCATGTCACCTGCCCTAAGGGCCAATACACCTATTCTAATAAACCAAACTATGGAAGGATTTTTTTTTTTTTTATTGGCTAAACTATGTAAATCATCTCCACTTCTGAAAGCCAAGCAGAGAGAAAAACAACAATCGCTTTGGAAATGTTAAAGGTCAGTTTAACCAATTTGACACCTGTTAGGAGCCAACAGAAATATGGAAAAATATCACTCCCCAAATAGCTGGCACACACCAGGCATAATCAGAACTATATAAATAAAGATAAAACAAATGGCAAGAGGGCCAAAAATCAACTTTTGAAAATTTCAGAAGAGAGGTAGCAGGGTTCAGGTATCAAGAAAGCATGATTTCAACTTTCCAACAGCACCTTCCTCCCCTTTCCCAAAACTTCCTCTGTTAAAACCCAGTCAGTCTGCTAACTTGTTCAATACTAAATCATTTGTCTTTCTGTCAACTAAGAAGCTTTAAGGTGGGACAGAGTGAGAGAGTAGCACTGACATAAATACACTATCATATGTAAAACAGCTAACAGGGAGCTACTGTCTAGTACAGGGATCTCAACTCGGTGCTCTATGATGACCAAGAGGGATGGGTGGGATGGAGGCGAATGTGGGAGGAGGCTCAAGAGGGAGGAGACACATGCGTGCATACAGCTGATGCACGTGCTATGGCAGAAGCCAACACAACACTGTAAAGCAATTATTCCCTAATTAAAAATAAATAAAAATAATCTTGCAATTGAAAAAAAAAAAGAAACTTTAATAGCCAGGCAGGATGCCTCTAATTCCCACATGTTCTGCTTGCTCACTTAATCTGATGAGAAACAGAACCGTGGTGGCTCTGTTCGCTTCCTTGAGGTTTCCCAGGACATCTACATGAGCCCTCATCTCAGTGCTTATGCTATTATCAAGGAAACAGCACTGATGGTGACAAATCTGGTCATCAAATCAAATCATTCAGTGGAATCAGAGGTGACAGCTCTGCATCACCCTTCAAAGCCCGAGTTTGTGGAATTCTGGGCACCACCTTACAAGTGGCTTGCTCCTGTACTTGTCACCTGGGGCACATCTTATTTGCTGTTCTGAGGATGGGCCTCTCACTGCAGTTCGCTTAAATCATATTTACTTTTCATGGAGAATGATAAAGATGAAAGAGACTATCAAGATTTGGTTTCAAGCAACACAGTTTTTGACAAGAACAAGGAGAAATTGGGGAAAAAATAATAATGGTTTCCAGACAGGTTAAATCTTGACATCAACAGAGAGGAAAAACCTGAATTCCCAGTAGAGGCTGTGAAAGGGCTGGTCCTTTCAAATCCTTTTATGTTCCTTCCCTACTTGTAAGCAGTGTCATGGCATAGACAGTACCCAAGTCTGGACTACCCAACGGGTTGGACAACTTTGTTCAGAAGCCCGAGATCCATAGCTATGACCCCTGGATCAGATCACGTTAGAAGTGCCTATGAAGGCTGGTTTGTTCAATTTTATATCAAAACAGGTTATACTTCCCCTTTCCTCTGCCTGCCTAACGCTTGATCAATGTGACTTCCTTGCTGCCCCGACAGGCCTACCTGAGGGTCCCAGCTCTGTGTTCCCTCAAGACCTTGGGCTTGTCACAGGATATCACTCTATTCCACTATTTATTCCCGTGTGCCACAGTCTACTGAGATTTCCTTGGGGGAAGAGATTGGGTCCTTTGTCTCCTTTCATATACCTGACACACGACAAACACCCATGAAGAAGAATTCCTTCAGTTTGCAGCCAAAGACACATTTCCCCAGAGTTAAAAGTTCCTTCTCCACTAGTACATGCTGAGGTCAAGCATTTCTGAGACTACAAAAGACTTCAAGAGCTTTCATGAGACAGTGAAAAAACTGTTGGAGAAGACACAACAAACTTTTAAAATAAATTAGATAGGACTTCCCTGGTGGTCCAGTGGATAAAAATCTGTCTGCCAACAAAGGGGAGGCTGGCTCAATCCCTGGCTGGGAAGATCCGACATGCCGCAAGGCGACTGAAGCCTGTGTGCCACAGCCACACTCTAGAGCCTGTGGCTGCAAGAAGAGAAGTCACTGCAATGAGAACCCTGTGCACTGCAACGGAGAGCAGCCCCTGCTTACCGCAACTAGAGACATAGGCAGCAATGAAGACTTAGCACAGCCAAAAATAAATAAATAACTAAAAAAAATAAGTTAGACAATTTCATTCCTCTGCTCTGGTTACCCATCTCACTCACAGTAAAAGTCAAACCCAGAAGGCCCTCTCCCCATGTATCTGCCAGGATCTGCTCCTGCTCCTGCTTCTTCACATGTGCTTAAGTCACTCATCACTGAAGCTTTCCTTATTCATCCTGGTTCACAGATTCACATATAATAGCAAAGTCCCTCCATCCCCTTGCCTGACTAGATTCATCTCCACTTACTCCATCTGACACAGTACATATTTGTTTGTTCACTTGCTTGTCACCCAACTGTCCTCTTTAGAATGTCAGCTTCATGAGGACAGAAACTCCGTTCTGTTCAGAGATGGATCCCAAGCATGTGGCTTGGCTCCAGTCTCATAACTGGCACAAAGTAAGTGATCAGGAAGTATTTATCAAATGAAAAACAAATGAATGAACAACTACAAAAAAACCCAGGCCAAATCTCCCACTTATTTGATGTGAATGGACAAGAGTAACCTGACTACAGGAGGACCCAGTGGCTGAAATACGAAGACTGTCAGGTGTCCAAGCATGTTCAAACTTGCAGTCCACCCAAAGCAGCTGGTTTGGCACTGATGACACAGCAGGCATGGGGCACTACATAAGAAGGAGCATCTAAAAACAGACAGGAATTATGTGGGATGGAAACACCTGGTTTTTCAAATCAGAGGGAATACATTGTCTTCTGAAGTTTCATTGCCAAAAGCAAGTGCTGTTAAAACAAAACTGCATGACCCTTCCTGTCAGGAGCTTTTCTCATATGGCAACTCTCCTTCTTTTTCAAGGGCACAAAGCAATCTTATAAACAAAATGAAAACATTCATTGAGAGACAATACAGAGGAGTCGTTAAGAGCGCAGGTTCAGGAACCGAATGCCTGCATTCAAATCCCAGCCTGGCATGACCTTGGCAACGAATTTAATCTCTCTAATTTTATTTATTTACTTAGGCTGTGTCGGGTCTTAGCTGCAAGTGCATGGGCTGTTCGTTGTGGCATGCTGGCTCAGCTGCCCCGCAGCACATGGGGTCTTAGTTCTCCAATCAGGGATTGAAACTGCATCCCCTGCATTGAAAGGTGGATTCTTAACCACTAGACCACCAGGGAAGTCCCTAACATACTATATATTTTAACAAGTATATCATTTATTGTCTGTCTCCTCTCACTAGAACATCCCATCCAAGATGATGGGAGTCAATGTCTATTTCAAAGAATGATAGATATCCAGAATGTTATTTAGCATATATGCTGTTTGGCTCTCAATAGCAATTGCTGAATGAATCACTGTATACTGTATCTAAGCATATACATTATCCCTAGATCCTTGTAACAATCCTGCATTATAGATATTTTAATCCCATTTTCTAGGTCAGGAAACCAAGCTCAGAATCTAAGTCATCTGACCAAGTGAACACACAGGTAAGTGGGTGGTAGGGTGGGGCCTCATTTATTCCCATCCCCAAGTATGCTTGGAAATTTGGTTCTCTTCCAACAGGTCAGGGGGCTCTCCAGAAAGATGACACTATTTTTTCTTTGACACTTCTTAAATGTTGCAAACCCCGCTTTGGCACAATCTTTCTAATTAACCAAACCAAGAAATTTCTCTAACACTTTCAACAGGAAAAGATACGCCATCAGCATGTTACAGTTTCCTTAAGAGAAGAAAGGAAAGATGAAACTAGGAACTCAAAAAGAAGTATGGTCTCAGTTTCTGGGTTCAGAGAAGATCATGATGTCAAGCTTAGTTTGAGTTCATTGGTTTTAGAAAATGTATGGGATATGGTCAAATCTGAACTGATTCACTTGGAGATCTGGATGAAATTTTTATTCAGGTCATATATTGTACTGTTAGTCGTTCAGTCATGCCCAACTCTTTGCAACTCCATAGACTGTAGCTCACCAGGCTCCTGTGGGCTTCTCTGTTCATGGGATTCTCCAGGTAAGAATGGGAATACTCCATTCCCCATGGAATTGGTTGCCATGCCCTGCTCCAGAGGATCTTCCCGACCCAGCGATCAAACCTGGTTCTCCTGCACTGCAGGCAGATTCTTTACTGTGAGCTACAGGGAAGTACCTATTCAGCTCATGGCTATGTTCAAGAAAATTGGGGGATGCTCCCACAACTCTAAATATACTAAAAACCATTGAATTGTACTCTTTAAGTAGGTGGATTAGGTACAGTATGTGAACTCTATCTCTGTTATTAGGAATAATAGTATTTGGGTTTGGTTCAGATCATGGTCCAGGAGTTTTTTTTCAGTTCAGGGTTTATGGTTCAGTTTGGATTGAGTCACATGATCAGATCAAATAAACGGAGTAAAAAACACGGGAGCCATTTCAATACTGCACCCAGAATATTTATAACAGACTGAAATCTTTAGCTGATATAACAAAACAGAGCTGCAAAGTCCTTAACTGTTACAAGTTAATAGACTAAACAGTAAGAGAGTGCAAAGTGCCATCTATAAATAGTAAAAATCAGATGCCCAATGGCTCATGTGTATTAGCATACTGAAAGATTTTAAGTTGGTAAAAATCATTGTTTTTAAGTTATTAAAAACTTAAATACAAAGGGGCTTCCCTGGTGATCCAGTAATTAAGAATCCGCCTGGCAACGCAGGATATCTTCGACCAGTGAGGGCCAATTAGAATATGTATTTGCCTGAGATGTTTCTGTGAACAAAGATGACACTCATAGGTAGCCCAGAGATCTAGGGCAAAGTTCTTTTTGCCCTTCCTCAAAGTTTCTTCTGTTCTGTTTCCTTGGAATATTTACAGTATATCCCCTTTTATGGCTTAAAGTAGGTTAAGATGACATCCTGTCACTTGCAATTAAAAAACTCTTACTAATACAACTTTCAACATACATACGAGACTATCAAGGCTGAGGGAGGTTAAATGACTTTCTAGATCTAGAAAAAGAACACATGTCTCCTAACTCCCAGGGCCAAGCTACATTATAGGTCCAAGTGAAAACAAGCTATAGAGAAAGGAATCAATCTGCAATACCTCATGAACCACGGAGCCCAGCATAAAGTCCAGCCTCTGGCACAGCTCTCCAAGGTTGGACAGGCTGCTGGCCCTGTGAGCACTATCCGGATCTCTTGCTCCTCTGAGGAAGGTGTGGATTAAAGGTTCTCGGTACTTTGAGACCATGTCCCCTGTAGCAAAAGGGAAGAAATCACAGTCTTGTAAAACAAACTTTCAGCTACTTAAAGAAGGAATAATACATCACCATTGAACAGTGTATGGTGTTTTATGCTTTTCAAATTACTTGTATAACCATTAAAGAATCATATCTGGAAGAATAACGCTAGGGAAAACATGCATGATGAATTATTTTGTGAAAAAGCAATTTATATATATATATGAAAGAAAAATGTATATATCATAAGTATACAGCTTAATACACTCTCACAAATTCAATACAACTCTCGCAGTTAAACAAATAGCAAGTTTGGTCCTAGGCTAGACCCCGGTCATCAGCCTAGTACTTTTCTTACATTATCACCCTACCTACTCAAGCAAAGTGAGTGAAAGACAATCAAGGCATTTTGGATCCTTGTCAAGGAAAGCTCGATGATTTATTTATTGAGAGACCTACTATGTGCTAAGCACAGTTGCTAATAGTTGGGATACACCTGTGAACAAAAGAAAGAGTTTCCATTGCAGTAAACTATACAGTAGGTTAGAAGGTAATAAATGCCATGAGGGGCAGCAGGAGAAAAGCAGGGTAAAAATATCAGAAGGAACGAGGATGATGGCAGATTTGTTTTTATTTTATTATTACTATTTTTTTGCATGCAGTATCTTAGTTCCCCAAGCAAGGATTGAACCTCTGCCTCCTGTGGTGGAAGCACAAAGTCTTAACCACTGCACCACCAGGGAAGTCCCAGACTTCGTTGAGTTGGTTGAGACATTTAGTCAAAGGCTAGAAGGTGAGGCTGTCTCCATGTGGATATGGTGGGGAGCAGCACATCAGGAAGAGGGAACAGCCAGTGTAAAACCCCTGCGGAGGAGCATCAAGAAGGCCCAAGATGGGACTTCCCTGGAAATCCTGGCTAAAACTGTGCGCTTCTAATGCAAGGGGCCTGGTCAGGAAACTAGATCCTGCATGCTGCAACCAGCCAAATAAATAAATTAAATATTTTTTTTTTTAAAAAAAGAGAAAGCCCAAGAGGAGACTAGAGGGGAGATGGTAAGGGCAGGTGGTGGTGCAAATCTTGCAAGGCTTTATAGACCTCTGTAAGGACTTGGACTTTTTCAGAGTAAAATGAGAGGCCTTTGGAGGATTTTGAGCAAAAAAGTACAAAAAGATCACTCTGGCTGCAGTGCTAAGAACACACCTTAGTGTATGTGAGTGTGTATGTCTTGTGGAAACAGGGTACAAATCAGGAAGCTGCTTGAGAGAGAATGGTAACTTGAGGAGAGGGGGTGAGAAAGATTCTGCTTATTTTCTAAAGATTGTACCATGACTTTCGGATGACTCCAATGATGACTCCTAGGATTTTTGCTTTTGCATGGTAGAATGAAGTTACTACCAACTAAGATGGGAAAGGCTCCAAGTAAATCAAGTTTGGGGCAGAAGGAAAAGTCAGAATTCAGTTTTAATATGTTGAGCAAGTAGTAGAAGATATACAGAGTGTTCAGAAAAGAGAAGTCTGGGTTGAAGATATACATTTTTGAGTCAAGGGAATGTAGATGATACTTAAAACCTTGAAACTAGATATATTATCAAGGGAGTGAGTTTAGGTAGGGAAGAGAAGTAGACCAAGGACCAAATCTGTATGCTTCCTTCAACCCTAAGTCTGGGATGAGTCTGGGAAGGGAAGAACCAGCAAAGGAGATTAAAAAGAAATAACCAGCCACATAGGAGGAAAATTAGCCTGGTATCCTAGAAATTAAGAGAAGAAAGTCTATCAGAGAGGAAAGAATGGTCTGCATTAAATGCTGCTAATAAGTAAGGTAAAAGAAGACTAAAACTGATGATGAGATTGAGCAACAATGAGGTCACTGTTGACCTTGACAAGAACAGTTCTGATGGGCTGGTAGGGGTGAGTACATGACAGGAGTGGGTTAAAGATAGAAAAGGAGAAAAAGAATTGGATCATTTAAGGAGTTTTTCTGCAAAGCAGATCAAAGAAATGGGTGATAGCTGGTTAAGGAAGTAGGGTCAAGAAAAGTTTGGGGGTCTCCCCTGGCAGTCCAGTGGTTGAGACTCTGTGCTTCCAGTGCAGTGGGTGTGAGTTCAATCCCTACTCAGGGAACTAAGATCCCACATGCCATGCAGTCAAAACAAAGGAAGAAAAATTTGTGTTTCATTTTTAAAGAGAGGAGAAATAAAATGCTAAAGCACTCTGAATTGACTTTAAAAACAAAACAGAAGCAACTTCTTCCTCAGTGGACATGCTGAGAACTGAAGATGTTTTGGCTTGATCTTGGGTCTGAGGCCCTAGTTCCAGAGCCCAAGTGTAACACTTCACTTCCAGCCTATTTGTAGCCCGAAGGTTACATGACATCTAAACAGTGACAATGGTTTCTGAAACATATGTTTAAAGTCACCAAAATGGTAATTACACAGAAAAATCAACAACCTGCTCTATCAGGCCCAGCTCTGTGCTGCCCTGTGCTTAGTCGCTCAGTCGTGTCCGACTCTTTGCGACCTCATGGACTGTAGCCCACCAAGCTCCTCTGTCCGTGGAATTCTCCAGGCAACAATACTGGACTGGGTAGCCACTCCCTTCTCCAGGGGATCTTCCCAATCCAGGGACTGAGCCCAGATCTCCCACATTGCGGGCAGATTCTTTACCATCTGAGCCACCAGGGAAGCTCCAGGCCCAACTCAAATGTCTCAAATTTTACTTCCTTTGTGAAAACCTTCCTTAATATTCTCTTAGCCTTAATTAGTTCTCCTTGGAAGCCCCACAATACTTTGGTTTAAATCACATTTGTTACTAACACCTTGATTCCTAGATGTTTTCAGCCTATATCTATTTCTCACATTAGACTCTAAATTCCTTGAGGGAGAACTTTGACTGCTTCATCTCTGTTGTTATCAGTTCTTAGTAATCTTTGCATATCCTAGACACTTAACAAACGCCAATGTTGACTTGAATTCACTCATTTCTTCAACAAAATATAATTATGCGCTGGTATTATGCTCATGTTTGAGGGATACAAAAATTGATAAAACATAATCCTTACCCTTTAAAAAACCCAAAGTTTAGGGGGTGGGTATAAACAGATAAGTACCAACAATTATAGTCCTGTGTGGTTAATGCCGTCATCGAGTCAAGCAGAGGTTGCTTAGTATAATTTCACTAATTTTAGTCACTTGGAAGGGGGAAGAGGAGAAAGTTTATTTTTTGCTTTCCCTCAAAGTCAGGAACACAATGTACTTTCCTTACAATGTAAGAAAAAGATGAGGGGTAATTTTTCTAAAATGCTCCCAGTTCCTAATATAATACATGCAGCATGAGACTCACCCCCCTGCCCAGTTAACATCAACATATAATGCAGAAATTGAACCAGTGATGACTTAGTCATACCCTGTTTTCAGAACCCTGTGCCTACTTAGACCTAATATCTGCACTTCTGAATACCAGTCCTAGTGAATGCAGTCACATGTTATTCACAAGAATTTGCATAAAGGCTTCTCTGCAGAGCTGTAATAGTGAAAAATGAGAAGATACAAATTAAAATGAATTAGCGTGAAAGTGGTTAAATAACCATACACATTGTGGAATACTACATGGTCATTAAAAGGAATAAGACAGAACTGGAAAGGTATCCCTGGGACTGTCCTGGTGATCCAGTGATTAAGACTCTGTGCTTCCACTGCAGGCGGTGTGATTTTCACAGGCCTCTTGGTCAAAAAAAGAAAGAGAAAAACCACTAAAGAAATATTTTCTTAAGACCATATTAAGTGAAAGAAACTAATAGAACCAGTATCATTCCATGTACGTACATAAAAATGCACACACATAATTTCTCTCAATATTAACAAACCCCATCTACAGATTTAAATATGTATATTAAGCATACAAATGCATAGAAAGAAGAGAAAAAGGATATACTGAAATAGAAAGGTTAGATAACTTGTCCAAAACAACCAAGATCAAATGGAGGCAGTCTTACACTTAACTCCTATGATACAATGCATTTAAGATATTTCCAACTAAAAGAAAAACATATTTCTCTACTTTTGGTATAACACTGTCCTTTTCTGGAGTCAGAAAGGGGCTTGCTTGTTCTGCAGTGAGATGTGCATCTAGAGTAAAGAGCTCTATGTTCTAATTTTGCTTAACTTTTATTTTTTCACAGCATGCAGGATCTTAGTTCACCCAACCAGGGATCGAATAGGTACCTCCTTGCAGGAGAAACGTGGAGTCTTAACCACTGGACTGCTGTGTTCTAATTTCTTCCCTGAAGTCAACTAGCAGTGACTTAGGGCAAATCCCTTCACCTCCTCAGACCAACTGGAGATGAGTCAATTAGACGAGACAGTCTCTCTGGCCCCTTCCAGTTGGAAGTCTATGATGTGATGAGTCACCTTTGGCTTAGCCATCAGGGGAATGAGATTCAGGAGAGCAGGAAGGGAAGAAAAAGCATCTATTCATGAACCCTAGAGTGGGAGGCTGCTGTGGTTAAAGGAATGAAGGTCTCTGTTGGGAAGGAAGTCATTGAGAAATGACAGAAGTCTGGAATCCATAAAGGAGGGGAAATTGCAGGTTGAAAAGGTAAGAGCAGATGACAAACTAGTTATTATTTATTAATGTAGGGATTTAAAGTTAAAAATAAGTGGTAAACTGTAAAGCAACTATATACCTCAATTAAAAAAATAATAAGTGGAAAACTAACACAGCACTGTAAATTGGTTATATTTCAATTTAAAAATGGATTAAAAAATAAGTGGTAAAGAAAAGGTACTATATGTTAGGTACAGAGTCCCTCCTCTCATGGTATTCAAAGCATACTGAGGAAGAGGAAAAATACTGACCAAGCAACAACACTGGAGTGAGATGTCCCCAAAATGGTGACAGAGAAGATACTTTTATGAGTAATGTTTTGATCTGGTTCCAATTTCCATTAACAACAGCTCCAGTATTCTTATTCATCCAGACTCAAAAGCCTGGTGTTCTTTTTTGACTTCTCCCT